AGCTTCTGGAGGAGGGGAAGCCTCACCCACTGGTGCCAGGGCACTCACTGGTGCCTCTGCAGAGGAAGGATTCCAGTCCCCAGGGCTCTTAATCAGGCATTTAATATAATTGATCTTATTACACTAAGCATATTACTGTTAAGCCTTCAGCTGTTAATGTTCAGTTGCTGTTGGAAGGGTCAGTCCCAGCCACAGATCAGCCTAAAAGCAACACATCTGAAGCAGCAAGATGATACTTCTGAGAGTAATAATTACTTTGTCCAGGGAGTCTCTGAATCAGCACAGCAACAACTCCTAAAAGCAGTGACCAGTCATTGTGAGAGACCTCTGGGACATATCCCCCAAGGGCATCTGTCTGTAGAAGTACCTTCCTCACACTGCCAATTGCCCACCCTGGGCTCTCCTGCTCCTTAAAGCCCCAGCTCTGAATAGCTTGGACGGGTCTGTTCTCCCATGTCAGAGATCATCCCACACTGAACATGCTAGCATCAGGTTCTCAGGGCTTTCCAACCACTATGCATTACACTGGCTCTGCAATTCTCCATCCTCCAAAACACACACAAGCCTCATTGGCCTCCAGCCCAGCTCTTACATCCTCCAGGGAAGCCAGAGCCCACCTTCATCTCCCAAGGCAGAGAAAGGTTCCTGCAGGCACCACTCAGATCCCAGCAGAAAGCTTAACAAAACAAGCTTCCCTCCAGCCCAAATCCCAGGACTGCTGCTGAACAGACCAGCAAAGATTGATACCTAAAACCAGCACCTCCTCTTTAAGATTCCAAATCCAAACCTTCCATCTTCTAAGTACCCTCTATATCCACCATGAGTAGCCAACAGCAAGCACCTGAAGGCCAGTCCTTAGGAGCTGTAGTTTGTTGGGGCTTTTTGATGTCTAAATGAAAGCTTTAACCACCCACCTGGTGAGGAGTTCATCAGCCAAGGTTTTTTTTGTGGGTATTTGGGCAGCCATGGTGAGTAAGGGGTCACCCTGAGTCTCTCCACCCAGCATCATGTGGAACCAGGCAGAAACCATGCTAGGTTGCAATCACACCATCTACTTTTCTTTGTGTTACAAGTTTTTTTTCAAGAGGTTTTAGTATTGGTCAGGTCCTTACATACTATTTGTTTAAAAGGGACCTTATCTTTAATACCTTTTTTTGACATTATCAACTGTGATTCCACAAATTAGAGAGGCTCAGAATATCTAATGTAAAAATCACCAATGATCTCAAAAAATATGTATTTGAGAGTGTCTTCCCATTTCTTCATTTTCCTCAGCCTTTCTAGGGCAAAATTATAACCTTGAAGTTGAGAGATGGAATAGAATTTAAGATAAAAAGAGTCAAACATTAGCTTTCACATACCAGGAATGAGGACCCAGGGCTCTAAAAGGATCCTTGAATATTTGGAACCAGAACAGTATTACAAGAGCCATCTGTGCTAAAATTATTCATCTCATTGTTTATACACATGAGGTGGAAATCTATATTTGCAAAGTATTGCATGTGATTTAAGCACCGAAGAGAAAATTCAGCCCTGAAAATTTGGTCTATCAAAAGTAAATAACTGAAAACTGGGTGTTTACTGATTCATTCAGTTTGTGACCAACTCTGTCATTGTCACTTATTTGATTTCCTCCTCTGTCACACATCTGTGTTTCACAATGGACAGAGAAGACTGCATGCAAGAGTCCTTGGAAGCTGTAATCAATTATCAGCACACTCAGATCTGTGACTGAAGGTTGTGGAAAATTCAAAGACTTCAAGCAAGAGTTCAGTGTAAGACACAGCTGGATTGAGCTGCTGGTAGGCAGGAGAAGAGCAGGTAAAGTGAGATCTGTGTCACAGGGAAAAAAAACCAGATTGGATTTCACAACACTGCCCACAGGATGCCTCTGTCAGACCAGTCCTAAAGAACACGCTGGGAAGTCCTCATTGTTACCAAGTCTATCCCAAACCCTGCTGGTGGAAACCATGGGCAAGGAATGGCAAACCCCATAGCAAATGATTCCCAAAAAAGTCCTCCCAATGCTGTCATGCCTTTCTCCCACCACGGAAGAAGGTGCTCCTGGAATGAGGCAGCAAGGGAGGTTGTGGCTCCTGAGCCTGCTGCCCTTCCCCAGGAACTCCCTCCAGCCCCACTGTGTCGGCAGAGGAGGCTGTGCATGGACTGCCCGCCATGGGAGCTCTCCTGGCCAGCCTTTCCCAGGCCATCTGGGCCAGCAACATTAACAAAAGCAGTTTAAGGCCATGAAGTATGAGTCATGCATCCTGTGACAGCCTTTGCACACAGGGACTAAACACTAGGGTACACCATCTCCCAGTGTTTCCGTGTACCAGTAGCCTCCAAACCAGTGCCACTAGTTCAGCACAGTGCACATTGTGCCCTGCAACTTGCACTGGTTCTTTAATGCAGGTTCCTGTCTCTTGGAAGCAGAGCTCAGCCATGCAGTAATCCCACTGATAGCTTGTTTCTTACAGCCTCAGTCATGCTGGAGAAAACCGGTGCTGGAACAGGAAACCTGATGTTGGATAGCCCAGGGGCTTTGCAGCCTGGGTTTGAGCACAGCTCTGGTTTGAGGTGCTCTCTGAAATATCATCCACAGCTTGTTAATATGACCTGCTCTGAGCAGCCTGCAGAGCACAAAGATATTCTGTTGGAAAGTCCTTGACTACTCAAAACAAACAAGGAAATAAAATGGGATGAAATATAACAGCTCCAATAAAGGCAGCATTCTGCTGTATTATACCATTTGGAAAGGCTAAACTAAATCCAGTAGTGAGAAAAAATCTTGATTTCAGTCCTGATTTAGCATTTTCAAGGCTAACATGGGATTACACTACACAAACAGTCTGCTACCAAATTAGTTGACTTCAGGCCCTCCCCAGCTCGATAAGCAATTGGATCACTATTGCCATATTTTGCTCTGCACTGCAGTAGATGTTTGAGTGACTCTCTGTGAGCAGCAAGAAAGCAAAATATCACCCTCCTATTTCTGCATTTTTAGGGCCCAAACTGCTGTTCTTTCCCCTTCTGTGCCCAGGCACAGAGATCTAGACAAGGACAGTTCACCACCATTGGTAAAGACCATCTCCAGACAGGGAAGACATGACCTTCACTTTCCAGTTTCCTCCTCTGCTTTCTTTTTTTTCTTTTTTTTTTTCTCCTCACCATTCCTTTCTCCAGAAAGTCCCCCCAGCAACAAGACCAAATTAATACTTGTGAGGAGTGTCTCACCAGACTGCAAATGCCTCTGCTCTTTATCCTAAAATAATTCTCATGTGAGTGACTAGAATTGCAAATTGTTTTACCTTAGCCAAATGTGGGACTTTAAATTATTAGGAATTTTAAAAGAGGCCAGAGGATACCCAGAAATGACATTTCCACCTGGAGTGAAGCATGACCTCTGCAGGGCATAGCTGTGTGTCCTCTGTCACTCCTGAGGGTGGCTGTCCTACCTGGAGCAGGGGGCACAGAGTCAAAGCTCTGGATGAGTCCATTTCAATGCAGGTGGCTTTCTTTGATCCCAGAAAGAGCTGCATTTGTATCAGATAATGGATCAGGGTGACATTTGAAGCTGGCAGGTCCATGAGGCAGCAGCTCACCCTGGGTGATTTTCATGTTGCCAAAGGATGGAAAGGCAGTGCTGGGCACAGGGACATCGTCCCACCAGCTGTGGATGGTTCAGGGTGGCTCTTGTCTAGCAGATTGAATTTGTCATCACTTGGAAATATCTTCTTGATAGACATTTCACTGTACTTGGTCTTAAACACACCTGTGCAAATGTGTCCCCATCAGTGGGGTCACTGATGTCCCTCCTGTAGTGCCACTAGGTTGAACACTTTAATTTAGTCACTCAACAGCGAAGAGATGCTACAAAGTGATCTTTTGGGAAGGTGGAAATGCTGATCTCTGATCTGGGGGGAGCCCTGCCAATATACCATGTATCCCAAAGCCAGCAGCTCAGCTAGTCCAGACCCCAGAGAGACTTTTGGCTTCAGAGAAGGAACCATGTGGCAAAGCCCAGAACACAAATCACCCAAGAAACTGTCAGCAGCCAGATCTAACCCGACATTTGCATTGAGCATCTCAGCAGTACAGTGTGACAAAATCTCCACTCCAAAATTACTGAATCTGGAGGAAGCTTAAATCCAGAAACAAAACACTTATACTTGAATCAGCCAGTATTTAGAATGTATGTTCATGGGTGGGAGTTTATGTGTTTGCATCCCATGCACACACATTTGTATGCACTCATTAACTACTGCAATTTCTAAAAAAAAATTTAAAATCTAAGATCACAAGAAGTAAGGATCGCTCATATTAGTTACATTTTTCATAGGCAAAGTCGCAACTGAGGCTGGCACCACGATTTGCTTTTGCTCAGCTCTTTTCCCACGGACAGCATTTTGGGTCAAAAACTACTGGTTTAGTGAAGCTGCAGAGAGCCAGCCCATGCCAGGGGCAAATTCCAGGCCTGGCCTAAACGAGTGTAATTCACATTCAAATCAGCTGAAGTTATGCTAGCCTGCTCCAGGACTGACCCAGCTCCTGCAGCTTTCCTCCTCAGATTCTTCCCAGCCTGTCACTGTGATGAGCACACGCTCCCAGGATTTTGGCACAGGAGTGAGGCGGGGACGGCTCAGGACATGCTGATCAATCACAGAGCCTTACATTGGACAGATCTGAAATCAGTCGCCAATTTACCAACTTCCAGGCATGTGACAATCGGGAGCATTTGGGGATACATATTTATGTTTCCAGAAGAGAAAACACAGGGAGCTATTAATAGATGAATCTAAAAGCATCCCTGGGACCGTGTGAGGTGTCATCATCTGGCAGCACTTCACTGTACCCACTGCTGGGAATGTAATCATGTGGGTTGTCATCGTGCACCCACCCGGAGCAGCAGCACAGGCTCAGCCCCACTCTGGGGCCAGCTCAGTCTCCACCAAAGAGGCAGCAATGTTTTAAGTGCCCTCCAAAGCACTTAGAGAGGGAGCCACTGCTGGAGCCCAGGCACAGATAGGACAGGGATATATTTTCTTCTTACCAATTCAGCTGTTTCCACCTTCCCTTAGGAGACAGGATCCCATCTCCTCTCTCCCCAGGCAGACTGGGGAAAGCCTAGAGTCATCCTCTGGTTTCATGACAAAGGTACACTTGGGAACAGGAGGGCACCTGTGAAGGATGCTCCTCAGCTGGGGGCAATCCTGAAGGAGGATGCAGAACTTAACCTTGCTCCTATTTTCTTGGAGTAGGACCTGGCTAGGGCTGGGAAATGACTGGGGAAGCCTCAACCTGATGCCCAGACCTTGTCAGCACATGACCCTGCAGACTGGGAAGCACTTCTCATCCCCTGCATCCAGGCCAGGGGATCAGGTAGGATTTGGCTGCACTGTGCATCAATATTCAGCATGAGAAACAGAAACACAATGTGTGTGTCCATTTGTTTTCATGTCTGTTCCTCTGTTTCTCCTGCCATGTGTTCCCCTTGGAACTGCAGGCACATTAGACTGTTTTCCAGCTCTGAGATAGCTCTTATTTGTATAAAGCAAGGCAGTACAAGGAGATACTGTCCTTTCCCAATAACCTTTTTCACATCTGTGCTGTTGCCCTGTAGAGGTGGAGGTGATGGCAGAAAGCAGGCTGAGTACCCACTGCTAAAAAGTGACAGCAGGAGAGGAAGGTGGCCTGACCAGCTGATTCCTGGTTAAATCCTCAGTTCCTGTGTATGGCAGGGCGCTGACCTCCTAGGGGGAAAATATTCTTATTACTCAAAGCCAAAAATATTAAATAAATGAGCAATTTTACCTCTTTTCTAACCTGTATTTTTTTTGGGAAAAATTTTTCAAATATATTAAAACAGAGGTATGTCACATCTAATCTGTTCTTGTCCTTTAGTGCAGTCATCTGGCACCCCCTTCAATTTCTAGAAGGTCATTCTACTATAAGGCTGTTTCAAATAGCTTAAAATTAGTTACGGATTTATAAACAATTACATATTTATGTAAGATGAGGGATTTTCCTTAATACACATTTAACAATACACTCAGAATATGAACTAGCTATGGTTTGGGATTTTGTTCATTTTTATGGTGTTTCTACCCATTTATTTTATGGGCTCTGGGGAGTGGAGGCTAAAATTGAGAACTTGTAAGAGGTTATAAAAGAAAAGAACGGACCTATTTTTCATGGCAGTTTGAATAGCCAGGTTGAAGAAAAGAAAAAAAAACCCCAAACACTGGTGCTGGACTCAGACGTGGGGACCTGTATTTTTTCTCATGGGCTTTTTTCCACTGCACCTCACCAGTGCAAGCCAGTGCTCACCAAGGTGAGAGCATCTCCTCTATCTGCAGCCCGAGGAGGGAGGGGCTGTCGTTGTCTCCTCCTTAGGGACTAGACCAGGCAAAGGAGAGGCTGCAAACAGCCAGGGCCCCAAGCAGGAAGCCCCAAGAGCATGGTCAAGGGCTCTTGGGGCTTCCTGCTTGTGCCTCTCTCTGTGTGTTTAAAGCATCACTCCTACCAACATCTGTCAAAGCTGCAGGCACCTGGCACTTCTGTAAATCAGATTTTCAGGCCTTCAGCAGGCATTCAGAGAAAAAGAAAACACATTTATGGGTCACCTGCAGTCAAACATCATGGAGGTCCAGACACAGATTTGCACAAACCAGTTCCTTGTGACGGACAGTCTGAGTACCCAGCAAGCCAAAAGCTCAAACTCCTTCTGTGTTGTTGATTGCATATCTCGCAGGCACAACTTCCAACCCCTGTTTTTACAGAAAATGTCTTGAAAGGAGAGGAAACAGCTGGTGAATAATTCATTGTGTACCCTCCCAGTTGTATTGCTGCCTCTCCTCAACAGGCAGGGTTATCTGTACCACCACGAGCCATTCCCCAACGCTTCTGGAAACAAAGGCTCCCTTTCTGCAGCTGTTTATCCAAAGGACAGGGAGAGAACTGCAGGAGGAGTTGGGGAAACAGCAGGAGAATGAGATCCCACCCAGTGTAATCCTTTCTCAGGGAGCAGAGGTATCTCTGGACAAGGAGGGCTTGGGACTCACTGTCACATTCCAGGTTTATATGCCAGCTCTGTTCCCCTCACCACTAAGTCTTTTCCCAACTCATAATGAGCCATCGTCCCATATCAGAGACTGCTTCTGGCCTTGGTAACAAACCAGAAGTTGTGAAGATTGAAGAATTATGAAAATTAAAGAAACAAGCAATAGGACAAGAGAAAACAGCTTCAAGTTGTGCCAGGAAGTTTAGATTGGATATGAGGAAACATTTCTTCACTGAAATGGTGATCAAGCTGCCCAAGGAAGGTACTGCACAGAACAGGCTGCCCAGGGAAGTGGTGGAGTCACTGTCCCTGGAAGTATTTAAAAGATGTGCAGAGTGGCACCTGGGATGTTCAGTGCTGGGTTAACAGACTCTGGAACTGAGTGGCACAGAGCAGCCCTGGGGAATGGGGCAAAAAGTGCACTGGCTCCAGGGAACGCTTCTTAGGGAAAGTGACCATTCCTTAGGACAGGGCTGCCAACCAGGATAACCACACTGCTCGTCTTGTGCTGAGGACCTCAGTCATCATCTCACTTCCAGCTCATCCTGAACTGGTGAAAAGTTGCTATTTCACCTCCCAGCCTATAACTCACACATCTATTAGTCACTGACAACCGATTATATTTTTTGCCATCACATGCAATGCTGTAGATGTTGCCAGAGTCCAGCTTGGGGACTATTTCTCCATTATGTCCTTTAGATGTAATTTTTAAAAAATACTCTAATCAGCTAGCTGCCCCAATTGGCCTGCAGCATGGAGTGAGACCAGAGAGAGGTTTGCAAGTCATTTTTTCAGAGTTGCAGTAAACTCATCTCCAGGCCCCCACCGCCAGCCAACACTGCCCTTTGTGAGCTGCACAGATGCAGTGAGAGGGAGAATGTTGGTTGAAATCCTGACAGACTTTATGCTAATTCACCAAATAGCATTTTAGACCATACACGGACACTTAATCGAGTGGGAAAGACAGCAGCGAACACGACATTTAATTATGGGAAAGAAAAACGAAGTCTTTTACCCTGCATTTGGCGTTCTCCCAACACACAGAGTTAATTGTCAGGAGGGTATATTAGAAGGCAATGAAGGAGAAGATTGAAAACCCTGATTATACTGAGGTCCTGAAAATGCTGAATTTATTGAATTTCACATGAGAAAACACAGCCTGTGCTACACTGAGGGCTGTGGCAGCAGCCAGCTAAGAGCTCAGGGGGTCTGTGTGTGCATGTAAGAGGGGAACAAAGAACCCCAACTGCTTTATGAGCCTTTGCCAACTGCTAGCCAAGGCCCACTGCATCCATAAAATGGGGCAGGTCAATATACACTCATGTGGATGGTCTTGGTGTCAGTGATGCACAAGGCCAGCACGTTTTTCAGGAGTTCCATTTTCCTTTAGAAAAGGATCTAACCAGGTAAAGTTAGAAAGTGCATTTCATCTGTGATGTCTGTGTAGTACATTTAGTTGCATTTGCCTAAATTTGGCTAGAGCTTGAAGCAACGGCAAGCCCAAAAGCTTTGGCAAGCACTGGCACAGATGCCCATGAGATAACAAGAGTGCTGGGGCTGGACCATGGGAAGATCCATCAGTCCTGGGTGCACCCAGAAGAGGGGGTGTTACCAGAACAGAGAATCAACCAAAATTCTCCCCAAAAAAACCCCACTGCCTCCAACAGTTTGATTCTTAGCCCTGTCCTTGCACTGTGGTGTTATCCCTCAGCACATTTCACTATGAATTTTTCAGTTGTCCCCTGAACCACATAAAGTTTTAGCCCATTTTTTCTTCATGCCTCATCATGGGTGAGGAGCAAAATTTTGACCCGTGGATGTAGTCATTATATCATGACCCATGGCCCAACATATCTCCCTGGGAAACTCCTCAGACTGGGTCTCACAAAGGAAAAGTAGTGCCAATAATTGCCAATTCCGTCATGCCGTTAACAATCCCATCTGCTTTTGCTGAAGTCAGTAGAATTTTCTCTGGATTTTAGCAGCACAAGATGCTTTTTTTTTTTTTTTTTTTTTTTTTTTTTTTTTTACTGGAAAAGTCCTCGTGGATAAGTGAGCTCCAGCTGATGGGGCACCTGCAGTAGCTGTCACTGTGCTGCAGGGGGGAACCTTTGGCTGCTGATGCACTCGCGGCTGCCGCAAGTTGGAGCGGGCACCGCGAGTCAGCTTTGGCCGAAATGCCCGCAGGAAGAGCCCCGCTGATTTGTATCGGGTCCCGACTGCATTACAGCTTCTGGGGCTTTCCCTAGCTTTAAACAGTTTAGGGAAAAGAGTCCTAAAAATTAAAATTATTTGTAAAAAGACAGAAAGAATCTGACATTTGGGGTAAGATAGCCAAAATTGTTCCTTCAGATGACAAGAATTTTGTGCCTGACCAATGTCACTGGAAATACCCAAATGGAAAAGTTGTATTTGCCTCATAGGCACAGAGTCAGGCTGTCACTGCAGAGGGGGAAGTCCAGCAGAAAATATAAAATTCTGGCTCTTCATGAAGTGCAGCAAACGCCAATGAAGTGCAGAGGAAACCCCAAAGGCTTATGTAACAGTGGCACAGCGCTCTCAAGGCAGCCCGGTGTGTCCCAGTCCAGGGAGCGCTTGGCACTCGCTGTGCTCTGCGCTGGCTCCGGGCAGCCCCGACGGGAGCGGAGCTCAGGGCTGAGCCAGCCCCGGGCGGCCGAGGGTGGCCACGCGTCCCTCAGGGCCGGCCTGAGGACACACACAGCTCCCGGGAGAGGAGCTGAGGCAGGGCAGTGCCACACCCAGCATCGATTTGTTGATGGAGATCTCAGGGGAAACTGCTGAGCCGAGAAAAACAAATTGACAGCAGCTCCATCCTCAGCAGCCAAAGGCACTTGGGTTTGGTTTCGATTTATCAGGTGCCTGACCGAGCTTGTGCTAAGCTTGAGCACAAGTCGGCCGTGTTTAGCAGGCTGGTGGCGGGCAGGAAGGAGCACTGTGCCTGTGCCAGCCCAAAGCCTGTGGACAGAGCAGGAACAGTGGGATCTGGAGCTCTGGCTCAGCCCTGCAGGCTGGCAGCATCCACCCCTCGTGATACAGCTTTTAGGTAAATAATTACATTTGGATTTTTTTTTTAATAAGACAAGAATAAGTCTCTCAACTAAAATGTCCACTATGTTGTTTAAAATTGATTTAAACATTTCCCACTGTTTTTTTGCTTATTTATCCCTCTCTCTGAGATTTTTTTTGAAAAAGTTTTCCACTTTAGACAAACATTTTCCTATAAGGATCTCTGTGAGGAAGGGGCTGGCTGATCATTTGCAAGAGTGTTGATCCCTGGGGCCACTTCCAGCACTGCTGG